TACACATTCACGAATGTACTTTTGTAGAATGGGAACTGAAAAGACTTGCTATTGTGCCCTCAGCAAACTGCCAACTGTGTTCTTATGTCCTTATTTATTGGTGATGAAGTTGATTTACTAGCACCTGCTAGTTTCCAGTAATGGGACTGAACTTGTTGTGCTGGTGTAAATTCCTTTAATTTGGTCTTTGAAGGAGATTTAGGCCCAATCTGCAAAGGCACTAGCCAGGCATATCCCTGCACTTGTAACTATTGTGCCCTCAGCAAACTGCCAACTGTGTTCTTATGTCCTTATTTATTGGTGATGAAGTTGATTTACTAGCACCTGCTAGTTTCCAGTAATGGGACTGAACTTGTTGTGCTGGTGTAAATTCCTTTAATTTGGTCTTTGAAGGAGATTTAGGCCCAATCTGCAAAGGCACTAGCCAGGCATATCCCTGCACTTGTAAGATGCTCCACTGGAGTCTATGGGTCTCCGTGCAAACTGGCTAGCTTGTTCTTTGCAGGATTGGGGCTGAAACATGGGACACCAAGAAGATGTATTTACAGCATTCCTTTTTGGACCATTACCAGAGATATAGTGGACCAGTCTTTCCAAACTTTTTGCTAAGGTGACCCACCAATTTCACTTTGTCTTTTTGTATGTCCCACGCAGCGTCCAAATTCATGGGCGGAGATGGGTGCCAGAATCATAGGCCAACATTATTTTCCTCCACCTCTGCTGCCACCTCCTCACTTTGCTGATGGGGCAGTGACCATCCGAAGCAGCATCCTCCATACCATTTATCATAATTCTAATCTTGGCCTAGTGCTGAAGGGAGGTTGTGGGGTAGTAGGGGGAGAGAGGGTTGGTTGGAGAGAGAGCCTGCCCTACACTCACCCTATGGTGGCAGTTCTTGTCACATGAGGCTGGTCTCAGCTCCCTGTTCCTGGTTGTGGGACCTACCAGGTCTCAATGCCTGCTGTGGGGAGCCAGGTGCCTCTGGATTCCTGGTGACTGGAGGGAATGTGTGCACTCTCCAAACCCACTTTCCTGGAACCTCCCCTCCATGTGGAGCCTGCCACCCATATAGAAACTTTTGGTGACCCTCCAAGTTGGGATCACTGTTTGGGAAACAGTCTGATAGATAATGTGTGAATGGTAGCTAATCAGTGGTCCTAATAATTGTGTATTTTCATGACTTTGTAGGTCTTTCTTCCATGAGGCTCAGCAGTAACCTTTAATGATGGGAGACATCCTAGCTTATGAAGCAGAGTTACTTGGGCTGGTGAAAGAGGTATACGTTTGCTATAGAACAGAAAAGAGGAAATCATCTGATGCCTGCACTTAGGGATGGGGGAAGGGGGCACATTTGTAAATGTTAGCCATCAATCCTGCAATTATTCTATCTGGGCAGCTGCTTGCAGCTGCATGGAGCCCCACTGATGGAGCATTATGCAAGCAAAGTGTGGAGCACTGCAAAATGAAGACAACACTATCAGCTAACTTTGGACCCAAAAAGTATCACTTTAAATAGGCTTTGCAAATATAATATGAATAGAATTGTTAATGAAATTTAAAAAACTCCCAAGACCAAACATGCAAGTGCTTGAGAATTGGAAACTGAAATGTACCAGTCCACGGTTACTGTCTCACCTAAGGCTCTGATCCTACAAAGAGTTAAATATATACTTTACATTATGCAGTGTGATGAATGTTGTTGCCTTCAGTGGGACTCTTTGCAGTGTTTAAGTTAAGTAACTTGTAACTCTTTACAGGATTGAATGTGTCCAAAATGCAACAAACAAGAACACAGCATGAATGGTGAAATATCAACATAAATTATTCAATTTTAATCATCTTGGTGTCAGTAATACAGATTTTGTTTTTAAAATTACTGTATATACTTCAACACAAGCACATTTGCTTATGAGCCTACCCCCCCCCAAACTTAGAGTAAAAATGGTGAAAAGTCACTGACCTGTTTATAAGCCAACTCCAAAGTGCAGCGGCCTAGGACCTTATAAACAGCCCAGTGACTTTTTACAATTTTTTCCTCTGTAAGTTTGGGGGATCACGTCCCAGACCGCTGCGGCTCTGCTTTTTAAATGTAGTAGCTCTTACTACATTTACAAGGCAGAACTGCAGCATCTGGGACCCGGTGCGAGCTGCAACTGCTATGTCCTGGTTCACGGCAGGTCCCCCACTGCTGCTGTATTTATTTGGAACCCGTTCATAATAGGGATGTTAAGTAGTGGTTAATTGGCTCATCGAGTAGTGAGTGGAATTTCCGCTGACTGCTCGATTAATCGATAAGGAAGGGCAGTTTCAGTGCTCACTCCCACTTAACACCCGGTCTCAGCACAACCTCCTGCTGCCACTCTGCATTTTTAAAGGGACGGGAAGCCAGCATGAGAGGACACTGGCTGACTCCCTGGTCCTGGGTCTCAACGTAACCTCTCCCCTCTACTCCCTGTTGCTGCTCTGCATTTTTAAAGAGACAGGGATGCTGTTGTGAGAGAATGCTGGCTGAATCCCTGGTCTTGGGTCTCACCACTCGCGCTGGCTTCCCGTCCCTTTAAAAATGCAGAGCAGCAGTGTGTGTGTGGCGGGGTGAGGGGGCTAGGAGAGGAGGTTGTGCTGAGACCCAAGACCAAGAAGTCAGCCAGCATCCTCTCATGTCAGCTTCCCTGTCCCTTTAATAGTGCAGCACGACAGCAGTGGAGAGGAGGGGAAAATGAGTGAGTAGTCGATAGTGCTACTGGATAAGCTCCTGCTTATTGGGTAGTCTGCTATTTGTTTACATCCTTAGTTCATAAGCTGCCCCCCCCCCTTTTTCCAAAAATAGTCGGCTTATGAGCAAGTAGTTTTAAGTTACCACTCTTGCTGTGATACAGCCATTGGGTTAGCACCAAACAGTACATGTAACTTGGTTCATCGCATAATTTCCGTATCTTTTTTCCTTTTTCTGGTGACGGGCTCCACTCATCTGATTTGGTTTCTCTCTTTTTTCAATTTAACACCACGTTTTTAGTCTATATTTGTACTTTCGCTTATGAGCAAGTAGTTTTAAGTTACCACTCTTGCTGTGATACAGCCATTGGGTTAGCACCAAACAGTACATGTAACTTGGTTCATCGCATAATTTCCGTATCTTTTTTCCTTTTTCTGGTGACGGGCTCCACTCATCTGATTTGGTTTCTCTCTTTTTTCAATTTAACACCACGTTTTTAGTCTATATTTGTACTTTCTGAATTTCTCATGAAATGGCAAAGCTGTACACAAAATTTGCCATAGTTGGACAGACCAGAGTGTTGGTCCACTCACGTTTATGTCCTGCCTCTAGCATTGGCTAATTGTTCAGAGGCAGGCAAAAAAACACAACAAAAAAAACCAACCAAAAATCCTGTAATGTGGCCAGTTTTATATCTTTTGGAAGGAGGAGGGAGAAATCTTTCTGGATCTTTACAACTTGCCCTGTAGAATAATTTTTGATTACCAATATCATTAGCTTGGTTTGCTTTAATTCGGATATTATGAGTAGTGATTAAAATTATCAGGACCTATTTTAAAATTCAGCCGCAGCATTTGTCTGACTCTCTTGGTGCTAGAAGTAGAGTTCCAGTTACCTATAGATGATGCTACCTTCAGAAAGTGTAAATTATGTGACTGTCTATTCAACCATGCTTAAAGTAACTGTTGCATTATAGGGTATTAACTCCTTTTCTTGATTAAATGAACAAATCAACTGAAAATAGTGAAACTTTGTAGCAAAGCCTTAAATAAGTTTGACTATTAATCAGTAACTGTTTTAAACATTAAAAAGTATAGAGTTTGTTTTTTGTGTATTCCTGTCTCTGTAGTACTTAGATTTTGCAGAATTTGAAGACACAGTGAAAACGTTTACAAAGGAATGTAAAATAAAAGGGAAGCCATTACCTAAAACAACAGGTGGTTCCTTGAGAGACTCCAAAGCTTTGATTATCCAGGTAACAAATCTTTTATGTTTGGTTTGACTAGCTAATGATAAGAACAGTTAGGGTAAGAATTTGCATGTAACAAGTGCTATTACATCAGCTGAAATAATCTGAAACGTTTGAGCTAACTTTTGGTTTAAACAGGACTTCTTTATGTTCAGTTCAAACTTTTCTCACCTTGAGTGGAAAAGTACCAAATCCAAAATGGGTTTCAGCATTAGATGGCCTACAACTTTGTAGGACCAACCAGAGTTTGGGCTTACAGGAAAAACCAAACCATTCACAGGTCATTGACTTGATCACTGAAATATCAAGTTCCTAAAGTATCATTAACAACTTTTACTAGAATACATGGACCAATGAAACAGGTTTTCACTTATTTTTAACTTCACATACAAGGTAGATAGATGCACACAAATAGGATATGCAGATTCAGCAGATTACAGCCTTTAAAATGACATATGACACAATCTGTTTCGCATAAAGTGTCTTCGAGTTATGCATTCCAAATTTTCATAAAGCGTGGGGGGGGGGGCCCTTGACACCAGGATCAGTTTGTAGACCAGGTCTGTAGAAATGATGAGAGAGGCCCATGCTAAGAAAAACAAACCCTTGAGGTAGAAGCTACCAAAAAAAATAATGGAAAGAGCAACATCTGAAGTGGGGTCAAGTTTAATAAGATGCAGATACATTTGTGCGGGTGTCACAAGATCAAAGGCTTATCAAAGTGAGGTTTATTGCATGCATTGATTCCTTGGGATCTCTCAGTGCTCGGTCAGCGCTTTAATAGTATAATGCTGGCTGGAGGGTAGGGAAGAGCTGGAGTTTCTGCTGGGTGGTCTCATGAGTTTGGAGAAGAAGCTTCATGTGGAGCTACAATATCTAAAAGCTGGTAGGGTACAGGTTGAAATATGATTCATGTAATTAGACTGTGGCTGGTGAATTACATACAATTTTCAAAACATCTAAGAGACTTAACTGCTTTTGAAACTGGTACTTATGCTCGTAAGTCAGGTACTTTTGAAAATGTTGCCCATTTACATAGGGGGTGGAATGAACTATTTTTTTTCCTTTTGCAGAAGGATCTACTTACAGCGTTTGAAAATGGAAATCAGAAAGTGTTCTTTGAACTTTGGGAGGAGCATATTTCCTCTTCCCTCCGAGACAATGAACCTCTTGCCCAGAAGCTGGAGTTTTATCTTCACATCCACTTTGCCATCTACCTCTTGAAGCACTCTGGCAGGAAGCCTGTAGGTTCGCTTTTCAGTTTGCACTTGTTTTAATTATTTGTGTATCTTCTCCAGTCTTGGTGTTTGTCAAATTAATATGGACTCAGATGGGTTGGTCTGTAGGCATCCTCAGACCAAATCCACTCCATTGACAGCAATCTATCTTTGAGTTGGTTTTGAAAACAGACATTTGGGCTGGTCAAGTGTGGAGATGAAATTTTCCAGTCGAACCTGATCCTATGAGGTGCTGAGTGCTGTCCAGTGTCAAAAGAGTCAAAGGGAGGGAGGTTTACCTTCAAAATCTTGCCCTGGAATTCATGGGAGTTTAGTTTGTTCCAGTGGATACTCAGTAACCTGCAAGGCAAATAAGATGTGACCACCAAATTAATTAGAAGAATCTACCACTAACCAGGAAAAAAACTCATTCTTTCAAACTCTCATATTGTCAAATAGATTGAACCCCTCACATTTCTGGGACTCTTTTTAGCCTCATTTACCATCTCTATTGTCATTTTGGGCTGAGAAATGACCTTTTCTTTAGGTTAGTGGTTCTCAAACTGTGGTTCACAGCCTTGCAGCTGGGCTGTGGCTGGAGGCTGAGGCCTCCCTGCCCCTGCAGCTTGGAGCCTGCACTGGTGCTCCAAACTTGCGGTCCCTTTCACTCCCATCTCCGTAAGGTTGGAGCACCGGTGCCGGCTTCCTGCTGTGCGGGGACCTCTGAGCTTCATGGGCCACCTCCCAGGGG